AATGTTTTTTCCCTTTCTTACACACCCATTCCCTGAGGCACCACCATCTTGGCTGCGGGGCTCAGCCGTGCCCTGCCGTGGGTCCATTGGAACCGACCGTGTCCAGCACGGGGCAGCCCCAGCCAGTCCTCACAGAGACCACCCCTGCAGCCCCTCTACTGCCAGCACCTTGACACCAAAACACCTACACCCCATAATGCTATCGTATTACTTACATAGCATGTGTTGCTGCTAAATATGCTATTTTACACCATAGGAGAAAATGTAGGATGGGTGATGGTTTGCAAGGACACATTTTCCCCAGAACAAGATGTTCTGTAGGTTGGCCTTCACTGTGCTGCAAATGCCCAGCAGACTTAAATGCATTGGCAAAAAAAAAAACCCAAAACCCAAACCCAAACCTGTAGGTCTGCTTCTCACAGCACAGAGTCATTTTTTTACCATGTTCACCTCTGCAATTTTTGTACTTGAAACACAAAGAAAGTCTCAAGCTGAGAGGAGTGGCACATAATTATTGGAAATACACATTAAATCAACTTAGATATCATTCGATACGTAGGATTCTTAGTTTATTAGCTACTTGATCCAGACAACTGTATATCTTCCTGAAGTTTAATGTCTCTTTTAAATAGCTTTCTTTGTCCTTGTGATATCTTGTCTGGTAGTGATTTCTGCTGTTTGTCTTTTGAATAATCACTTTTCTCTAGACTTCCTAGATTTTATAACAGCAATTAGAAAGCCTGGTAGGAAGGCAGGATCTTCAGAGTACATATGATTTTCCATTCGTATTGATAAAAATGATTTAAACGAGCTTTATTACCACAAATGTTTTTTTTTCAATGCATAAGAAAGGTTACACTTGCTCCAAAATTGCAAATGAGTACTTCTGCAGCCAAGTGCCAGGAAGGTTACCACCAAGATAAACAAGACTTGGGTAAGCCAGGCTGCTCTGCGGTCTTGCATGATGTCTTGTGTACTAAAGATTTCCGGACTGTGGTATGCATACCGCTAATGTCACATGAGCCGTCTAAGTGGCATACAAGTACGGTTTGAACAGACCGGTGTTGCTGCTTGGGTACGTGCATAGCCTGATACAGAGCTGGAAATGTTGATGCTTCTGCTGTCACAAATGATGGCATCTTAGGGGGAAAAAAAGTTAGGAAACCCTTATAGATAAAGATTTATAGGCACATGGAAAAAATAAAAGGTAAAAACCCCATAGTCTTCAGCAACTTGTGCGTACCAGATATATATACTTTCCGATTTCCTTCCCTCCCCTGTCACCAGGCATCTAAACAAGAGAGACTTTGGGTTATCTAAGGAGATAATTCTTTACCTCATATTTGTCATCTTGAAGATTTGGCTTTGAGATTTATCAGTTACACTGAAAGATATGTCAGAAGCCTATAAATTGTGTATAACCAACAAGAAGAATTAGTAATCATTCCCCATATCCATCTCTGTCTCCCTCTGTCCAGAGTAAATATCCTTCCTCTTCCCCCAGTGATCAGAGGGATGAGCTGGACTTGCAGCATCTTGCTGGTTTGTGCTTTTTTCACCTGGGAAGGAATGACCCCTTTGCTGTCACGTCAACCTAGACTGCATGGGTTTTTTAAGATGCTGACCTAGCTTAGCGGTGAGGTAATGTTCCCTTGTCACAGGCAGATTCCTAACATTTGTTTGGCAGAGGGGTTGCCTCATAAGCTGGGAATGAAAAGATTTAACACAAAGCCAGGTGAAGTTTGACAATGGTGATGTTTCTCCTTCAGAATATTATGGTGAAAAAGCTACCATCTTTCTGTCATTTTTTAATCCTGGTAGATGCAAAAAGGAGTGAGTGGGGACTAGTTAACGGGGCATAACCAGATCGTATTCGTGCATTAGGTGATATAAACGAAGGATGGTCTTTACTGAGTAAACTACTGCCAGATAGTCTCCTAGGTGTTTGGTACCAGCGCTGTGACTTGGCTAACTCACATTCAAATGGTGTGCAGGATAGGCTGGTCTAGCAAGAGTCTCTTTACAAGACAAGACTGAATTAAATACATACATGCGAACACCTCGGATTCTCTAGGCTGCATTGTAAAGTCTGCTAGCCAGCACAAAGGTGCTGCAAGCCTTGAGTGGTGCCTCTGAAGTCCACTGTCGTATCAGTGAGCAAGAATAATTTATGAAGGTGGTACAAGTGGCAACAGTGTGCTGCAGTTGTGGGTTTTTTCTTCTCTTGGTGCTTGGTGGAACCAGAGTAGTCCAAAGACTACCGTGTTTGTTAAATGTCAGTGTTGCCCTGCCCATTCAAAGCTTAATTCTTGCAAATCCTTTGCAGTGGAAACAAACCCCTTTACAATGGGAAACAGTTATAGGGAGAGGTAAAATGTTTGTTGCTTGTATTTGGCTTAATGTGTTACATAGAGATTGAATGAAGTCATTCTAATCAGTTTATCCACTCAAAAGATTAGGTGGTACTAAATATGTTTTGTTTCCATGGATGTACATTCATTACCAATCCAAAATCAGTACTATCCCAGAACCATTACTGTGTGGCACTCATTGAAAGCACTCTATGAAACAAATTAGCCTGATCTTTTTATCTGCAGTAAGGTACTGCCTGCTTAAATAAATGAACAACACGTTTGCTAGCATTTTGCGTTCTCGTACCAGTTTCAGTAGACTGGCTACGGTTTGGGCAGAGCATCAGAGCAGATTGTGCTCTTGCCAATTAGAAGCAGCTTTCTCAAGGAAGCAGTGTAGACTAGAACTCTACAATATCTTTGTACATGCTCTCTGGATAAATAATTCCTCATTCAAAGGTTGTCCAAATTGAGATTTTTACTTTTGTATGGCATGTTTCCCTGAAAAATCTTAGTGCTCTTATGGAAGTTGTTTCATAGTCTGCAGAGTAGGATAGAGTGTTCCTCAGTTTATAAAAGTACAAATCAAGCAAAAGGGACACTCCTGGTTGTCTCACTGAATGTATTCAATAAATACTAAACTTAAGGAAAAAAGAATTGTGTTAAAAGCTTAATCCATGAACAAAGCTTATTAAAAGTGTTTTTGTTTAATGCAGTAATAGTCTTCATTTCGATGTTTGACGCACATCACTTTGACTCTGTTTTGTTTTTATTTCCTTTTAGGACGTGTAGGAACACCTCATTTTATGGCCCCAGAAGTGGTAAAAAGGGAACCTTATGGGAAGCCTGTAGATGTCTGGGGTTGTGGCGTGATCCTTTTTATCCTGCTAAGCGGTTGTTTGCCTTTTTACGGAACCAAGGAAAGATTATTTGAAGGCATTATTAAAGGAAAATACAAGGTAAATGACAATATGCCTGAATCCTTTTCCAGTGAGATGAGCCCTGCTGGTAAAATTTCTGGAACGTGATTTTTATATTTAGCCTGATTTAAATTTGAAGCTTATAGAAATCTATATCACACAGGAGGAGGGATGATTTTCTCTCTCCAGTCTATCTTGTTCCTGCTGGGTTTTGTATCAATGTTAGGAATTAGAATACAGAAATATTTACTCAGATGAAATAATAAATGAGTGCAACAACTAGCCTCTAATTGCACATTGAGCTCGGTAGGTTTACATAAGGTTTAGCTATGAAGTATAACATACTGTGTTACCTTAAGTTTATAGATCATTTAAATTTTTTTATCAACTAAAAGAGCTATCATAAAGGCTGGTCATCATATTGCCTTGATTTAAAACAAAATGCATGTTACAGTAAAAATGTAGTTATGCATTTTTTGGTTTAGTACAGTATGTAATAAAGTGCAACTGATGATTCAAAAGGAGCCAATTGCAACTGAAAGCTAATCAGTGTGCGTGCAAGATAAGTGTGTTTCACAACATAACCATCCTAGAGTCATTATGGGGACAAATTTAAAGCTTTGACTTCACTATTTTTGTGGTTTTGTCTAAGATCGGTTTTGCTCTGCTTTGCAGCCAAGATCATAAATGAGCTTTGTATTAGCGAATTAAGCGTGGGAACTCCTAAAACTCTCCGATAGTTTGTAATATGGTTTAGGAAGTACTTTATTGTATGAACTTAGCAGTAGTCTGCTAAAATGTAAGTGAGAGCGATGGTACTACTCCTGGTCAGGAGCACATTTTTCATTCTTTAAATTTTGTGTTCCTAGAAAAGCAGGATTTCTTCATGGCCCTAGTTTTGGGATGGAATAGACTGGTAGACGTTCCAGTTTCACTTTATCTAAGAGTTCTTTATGGAATTTCTTAAGCAGCTAAAACCTTCTGGAAGCGTACAAGTTAACTTTTCTTTGTTTAAAAAAAGTCATGGCCAGCACATTGTGTCTTCTCAGTTCCTTTTCTGTTCCTGTTTCCACAATAATATGCCTATTCAGTGAAAATACTAAAAGGATTTCAAAACAGTCTTGCTGCAAATTTGCAATTACCTTCATTTCATTACAGTTGAAAAAGAAATGACAAATCACATCTATAAATGTGCATTTCGTAGCCAGATAATGTTCCTGGGTGATCCAATTTAAAGCAATCACTTTCACAATTTAAAGCAAACACTGATTTTAAATAAAAGGACCTCTTTAAATGAACAGATTATAACATTGAAAAGAGTCTCGTTAGAATTCTGAGTTTTCATTTAGTGCCTTGTAAAATTAGCAGTGTACCATCTAAATAAAACTTACTTAAAAACTTCATAAATTAAAGAAGTATTAGAAATAACTTAAAGATAGAATCCTTTATCACAGAAAGAATTTTCTTACTTTAGTATGGTTTTATCAGGTGTCCATCATCTCGACTAGTTGGACACAAACCTGCATATGCACAATAAGAAAATATATTCTAAATCATCCTTCACATTGTTGTCTCCTAAAGATACAGTTGTGCTCTAAGTGTTGCAATTGCTTGTATTGTTGGTCACATGTCAGTATGCTTTCCTACCTGAGTGACTGAAGATGCTTAACTGTTGTAAAGTTCAAAGGAATTTCTTGGGAAGACCCCATGTCCATGGGACAGGACCAGAGTAGTTCACAACAGGCATTAGCTTTCTCCCTTCTTACTTGGCATCACTGGCATGAAATTGTAGGTTGATATAGGTAGACTGTCATGTTATTCCTTATATTGATTTCAGGAGTAGATTTAATTTCTACATTTATCGTGTGCATACTTAACTGTTAGATGAAGCCTAATTATTTTTTCTTTTTCTAGTGAAGAGTCACTTATCTGAACAAAATGTAGAATAGGTAGAAATTTATACTGTGATTATAACATAATACCAAGGATATGTCAGCTTTTATGTGATACAGTGCTCACTGTTTTCAGTTTTTTATGCCATTTCAATGGCAACTAATTTACAATTTTGTAAGTTATTAAAAAAACTTAGAAACTTCCTTTTACATTTATTATAATAAAATTTTTACAAGTACCAACTACTGTTAAATCTCTGCAATAACTTTACAGAAAAAGTAGGTGCTTTTCTATATTCTTATTACTAATTTAATTTCTTTTTTCTTGCTTGTAATCAGATGAATCCTAGGCAATGGAGCCATATTTCTGAAAGTGCCAAAGATCTGGTACGCCGCATGCTTATGCTGGATCCAGCAGAAAGGATAACAGTATATGAAGCACTCAATCATCCCTGGTTAAAGGTAGTAAAAGCAGCTGGTTACATACCGGTTTCCTCTTTGAGGGAGAAAAAGATCTGTTTCTCTGTTTCTTTGAACTTTTCAGGGTAGAGGTGACATTGTACAAAATGTGCAATAATATGCTTTAAATGCTTTGTAAGATTAGAGTCTGAGATTTTGATAATTGCCAGGCTTGAACTCTTACTTAACACCAAGAGCAAACTCACTTAGGCTTCCTCGGCAGCATCATAATATAGGGAGTAGGGCTGCATAGAATAAAGCTTGAAGAAGGTATTCATATGTCTTTCTGTGGCTCTCGAACTCCAAGGGAGTGATTTCTGATCTCTTCTTTGCTCAGTCATATGTAGACCTCTTTCCTGTTACGCATGTAGCCATGCCGTTTATTGCAGTACATTATGCTACTTAACTGTGCTGCTTTCTTACGTTAGATTCCTGAAGTATCCCACCAGCGTGAAGGAAGTCTGCAGTGGTGTGTTGTTCAAAGGCCACTGTAACTAGATAAAATCATATGGCATCTGGTAGTCAAGTTATTTTTCAGTGGCGGCAGAATTTACAACAGTTTGAGCCAGTGGAAGAGTAGTTGCTGGACGCTGAAGGTTAACAGAGGAGCAGGAGAATATACACCTGACTTCTCAGCAGTCCCATTAGTAGGCTGTGCTAAACACTGGAGCTGGAGAACAGTGTGTGTGGCAGATTTAAAAGGTGACAAGTACTGGTTCAGAGCATGGTATTCTCTTTGACACAGACTGGTGAATTAACTTTTTTTCTTTGTTATCCTCTGTTTCTTTTCTATAGTGCAGGCCCACGGTAGAAAGAGTCATAATATCATTAACTTAAACAGGGCACTTATTTGGGAAGGGTGCTATTCTGATGTCGGCTCCTGGGCTGTTCATATGTTCTACATTAGAGAAATATTGATTGAAAAAAAAAAACCAACCTGGGAAAGACAGGCTCATATGTTCTTCTCCCTCCAAGTAAATGGTCTAACTACTAGTGAATGGAGTCGTTCTTGCACTTCTCTGCTCTCTTTCTGGCTCTGATTCTTGTATTCCAAGCTGCAGAAAGATCTGACTTATAAAAGGAGAGCAGGAGCGTGCGCCTCGGGAATAACGGTGATTAAGGCACTCTTCTGAATATTGGGAAACTGCGGTTTCAAACCTTTCTGCTCGAAAGGAGCCAAAGTTCTGTGTCTGCTCATCTGGGGCATACATACTGCATCCAGTATTTCAAAGAGCATAGGAATGGACACCGTGTTTGAGAATCCCAAATGATCGTAGTCCGGTGATTGAGTCTGTGGTAAACACAGGTGGTCTGGTTTTACCTGCTTGTAATTTGACTTTTTCCTCACTTTGTGAGCTTACCCACACTTAGGTGCCAAAGCAAAGGTTTTGTTGAGGGTTGTTTGGGCAGAAAACGTTGCTTTTTTGTTGTTTGAGCAACTAAGCTGATTAGGCTTTTTAAAAAGATAATTCTGCAATGCAAATGTGCAAGTTTGGCCTATATAGCATGGTACTTTTGATGTCTGTGGTCTCCTTCTGATCTTGTGATTATTTGTTGAAAGACAAGCGAGGAGAAAGAAGATTTAGTTTGAGACAACTTTGTTTCCAAGCCTAGACCAGCATTCTGTCAGTCAGTCCTCTTGTTTTTGCCCACGATAAACTGCCTTCCCTGCTGACTCAGAATTTTCTTGTAAACCATTTATAGATTGCAGCCAAACACAGCAGGAGACCGAGACGTCTTCAGTGCCGTAGGGAGACTGAATTACTTCTGCCCGTGATTTCACTCTGATTCAGGAGATGCATGTGATAAACGTTTGCATTAAATTAATAAGTGTATATAGCTCCTGTGATGACTTGGAGTAGGGGGAGAAAGTAGTCAGCTGCTGCAAGTTCTGTCCCTGCTGTCCGCTGGTCATTGGCAAATTTTTCATCTGCATCGACAACGGAGAATTCTTCCTGTCAGGTAGCACCTGTGGTCACTGGCCATCGAGCTGGCGCTTCCTGCGCTGTTGGACACGTAGCCCATCTCCCAAGCTTACCTGAAGTATCAAGCACCCCTTAAAAGAGTGCTTGAACACGTTGCTTCAGTGGGATTTGTGGATCCCAAGAAGCAGAACTATTTTGTGCTTGCCAGTTTCAAAGTTCAGTGCTAGCCAAAGACTAGCAACACAACAGTAAAACAAAAGGCTAGGGTCTTACTACAAAGTGGGAAACAAAATTACAAAAAGAAAATATCCCTGGCCTAAGTTAAGAATTCTTTCAAAATATTTTAATCCCTCTCTGTTTCTTGAAGTTTTCCTTAAGTTGCAACAAATCCTCGTTCTCATTAGGATGCTTATTAGCTGGTACATTTCTTGCCTGGTTTCTTAGTGTCAAGAGAATATTAAGAGCTTGTATATAATCTTTCTTTTGTTTTGTTTTTTTTTTTGTGGGGTTTTTTAAGGAGAGAGATCGCTATGCATACAAGATTCATCTTCCAGAAACGGTAGAACAATTGAGAAAATTCAATGCAAGACGAAAACTAAAGGTAAAATGTAGTGTTAAAACAATATAATTATATAAACTGAATTTTGTGTGATACCTTATTCATTTTAAAAATGCTGAGAGAAATCTATGCTCTGAAGTTGGCAATAAAATGAAAAGTTGGAACAGGCCTTCACAGTTGTTTATTGCAATGATGTCTTGTTAAGGGTGTTCATCCTTTCTTTCTTAGTGCATAGGTTTCAAACTAAATTTCAGCGCAAATTATCTGGTATCAACTGAGGTGTGTATGAGGGTCTTCACCTTTAAATTAATGGAGTAATTCTATGTAATACAAATTATTGGAGAGGAGAAAATAGTACAATGGCTTCTGTTATTATTGTGTTGCGTTTATAATAAAAGGAACATTAATAATGTTTTAATGTCTTTTTTCAAGAAGAGCAAAGATGTATTCTTCAGTTTATCCCCTTTATGTTTAACTATACACAAGATTATTTCTCAGCTGTATTGAAAAAAATGTTAACATTCTAGCCCAAAACAACGTGGTTTCCCTTCAGTCCCTGTCTTGGAAAATTTGACAGAAACATTTTTAAATTCACTGAAAGGTTGAGAAAATTTTAACAGAAACGTGCAACATTGCAATTCATGAGGTTTTTCTATAATTTGTAATAAGACACAGAATCAGATATACACATTGAGTTGCTGCTTTGCAAAAGTCTAATGTAGCTGCAAAAACAACTGATGATTAGGATGCAACAGTTGCCGTAGCTCACAATAAACAGCACTTTCAGGTGGTTTGTATGTCCAGGTAATGCTTTCATTGAAATGTTAGCTAGTACATTTTAGAATATGCCTGTTTTCCTGCTCTAGATGTAGTTTCACATCTTTCCCAGATTTCTTCCTGGGGAGACCACTATATTTAGTATCCTGAGAGCTGTTGTACCTGTGCTATTTGTTTTCTACCATTGTACTCAAAGCACAGTTCTGCAGAATGTTTCCTGAAATTATTTGTTGTTCGTTTTGCCGACTGCCACAACTGTAAGATATTCAAACCTGAGTGGTTAAACTGTAATTTACCTGAAAAAGTAACTATATGTTGGAGCAGATAACCATTTTTCCAGCTTTGTAACTTCCCATGTAACACTCATTACACTGGGAGTCTGAGATTATTGCATTTTCACATAGATGTATTATGGATGTCAAATATCCTAGTGCTGTCAGTGTCAGATTCTGACAATTTCTCAACTAACAACATATTGTGGTTTTTTAAAGAGTGAATTTTTATACTTGCTAAGCCAGCCAGTCTAGGTAAGAGAGAAAGAGAAATAAATTAGTTGTTTTGTTTACATTGTACTATGGAAATTTATGCTTCACACTTATTGTTTTTAAATGCTTTCACATAAAGAATTGTTCTCGTGAATCTCCTCGCAAAGAATATATTTACTGTTTATTAGAGCAGTGTGTGACTAGCTCTTCTGTCAGATATGGTCACTGGTAACAGTGAAGCAGAGCTGAAGACTATAAGATTTATTTACTCTTCACTGAGAAGGGGAACACATGAGACCTCCGGAGATTGAGTGATCCAAGTTGTCTGGAAATATTTCATTATCCTTCTCTGTGTAATTTAGACTTTGTGGGTATTTTTATTCAGGGGGCAGTACTAGCAGCTGTGTCAAGCCACAAGTTCAACTCCTTCTATGGTGACCCCCCTGAAGAGCTGCCAGACTTCTCTGAAGACCCTACCTCCTCAGGTATTTTAGCAGAAAGTATATTTACTGCAGTCAACCTGTCTTAAGTCTATACTGACTAGAGTGCCAAGTATTTATTAATTTCTCATGACTTCATAAAGTTGCATATTAAGTTAATGTTTAAATGTGAAAGCATAAATAATTTTCAATCATAATGGTGTTAGTGCCTGGAGAAAATCAAGAGGAAATCTCTGCACAGTTTTAAGTTTCTACAGAAATTCTGTCTGTGTTGTTGTTCTGTGTACATTTAATTACAAATAGTGCTATAACCTCATATTTCTCTCTATACTACTTGAGTGTAAAAGCTTATTGAAATTTTGTCTTGAATTCTTAGGCAGGAGCAAGGTTCTCATACCTTATTAATAGTTCTTTATAAAAAGAAACTATTGTGTACCAGAGTTTCTTGACCTGGAAAGCTGGGGAGGGACTTTTTACAAGGGCAGGGAGTGATAGGACAAGGGGCATTGGCTTTAAACGGGAAGAGGGAAGATCTCGAATTAGGTATTAGGAAGAAATTCTTCCCAGTGAGGGTGGTGAGGCAGTGGCAGAGGTTGCCCAGAGAAGCTGTGGCTGCCCCGTCCCTGGGAGTGTTCAAGGCCAGGTCGGATGGGGCTGTGAGCAACCTGGTCTGGTGGGAGGTGTCCCTGCCCAGCGCAGGGGGGTTGGAACAAGGTGAGCTTTAAGGTCCTTTCCAGCCCTAACCATTCTGTGATTCTATGACCTCCTGTTTTAGAGAACAGTAAGATTAAGATGTCTCCTCTTTAAAGCACGCTGGACAGTATTTCTGATACTATAACCCAGACCCACAAATCTTCAGAGAGAAACAATACATGTTGGGACCTCCCAACATACTTCAAAGGGGAAGATAATATGTTTGCTTTGCTGTGAGCACATAGCTAGGCCTTGAGCAGGGTGGGGATCTTACTTCAAGTGATCCTTTTGTCCTCAGCCCATACTCAGGAATTTAAATAACCTGGTAGTCTCTATATTAACAGTAGTCTCTATATTAGCCCTGTCGTAGTTATGTGTCTTAATTTTGACATAACATTACTCAAAACATTTACAGTGCAAAAATCTGGCTTGGTCTATCTGATCTAAAATGAGGATTTAGGATCAAGTTAAATGAACTTTCAGGAAAAATCTAAGGCATATGTTAAGTGTTCCTTTTCTGCTCTTTCATATGAGCAAGTAATTTTTATAAATTATTTGAATGTCATTAATATAGGAATTGGGGGCAGGTCTTTTTGTTGAAATTCTTAAATTTGACTTCTTGAAATTCAAGTTTGGAGTACTTAAATTAAAAGATTGCTTCATCCTTAGAGGCGCACACTGCTCACAATTTCCATAGAAGGGAATGGGAATCTCAGATCATTTATTGCAAATGGTTATTCACAGCCTCATGGCTTAACTTCAGGCAGCCAGCTGTTGAGTACTTGACATACTTGCAAGTAAGGATCCATATGTTCTTTTAAAGAAAGAATAAGTTGTTTTTACTTCTCTCAGAATTAGTTGCAGTGCTTTAATTTTTGTTTCCAGCTACTTCCCCCATTTCAGTAAAACAAATAGGCCACCAACATGATTGGCAGTGGCAACTTTCCAAACCTAAAAACTGCAGTTCCTCTTTCCTGTTTCAGTCTCACATCAACAGGGCATGTGTCTTCCTCATAGAGTGATGTAATTGCAGATATCAGTATACAGCAAAGGTACAAGTTCTACTTTTTCTGCTCACAGAATACATGAATCCAGTACACGTGTAAATTCTCCAGAGTATCTGTGCTGGATCCATTGTTGTCTTGTGTTCAGCTCTGAAATAACTGAAACAATAGCTTGGGTTTCTCAGGAAAGCATAGTTGTTCTTTAAAATAACATTGTTGATCTCACTGATGGGAGATCACAGTGATCAGGAAACCATACTAAATGGGTAGTTTTCATTATGTTTCCTGACTGACTACAGTAGCTGATAAATATTTAATATCGCAGGATGAACACTGAGGCTTGCAAGAAGAGATACTGCAACTTTCAGCCTCTGAAATCGCTAGATACGGAAATCTATTTTGTTCTCTCTTCAGAAGTACACTAATAAAGTTTTCAAATATTTCTAGCTTGTAAAGATAGGCTCTTGTGATGATTCTAAACTGAACTAGTTTATAGAAATTAGACATAACACTCTTCAGTTGCAGTAGAAACTTGACTATCTTAAGGTTATTTAAGTTTCCTTCCTAACATCTCATAATGTTATTTCAGATCATAAACTCTAATGAAGAGCGTTTAATATTTTAAAAGTTGCTGCCTATTTAATCCTCCCATAAAATTTCATTAAAATTAAATGATTTGTCAGAAATGGGCAAATGTGGAACTCCTACCGAGATAAAGATGCAGAAATATAAATGCTTATTACCTTATGCAAATAGTGTATCCTGTCCTCCTCCAGGTCTTTCTAAACACAGAAAGAGAAAATTTCGGTTCTGTCTTTTTTACCAGATTAATCTAGAGGTGTTCTTCCTCAGAGTTCAGTGAACCCAGGTTTGCTGAAACCTTTGAGTGTCTTCCTATACTGCCAGAGTAATAGCCTGGGTTATGAAGGCACTATAGGTAGCAAGTCAGATGACTGTCTTAGATGCAGAATCACAAAGGATATTCTTGTTAGAGCGCTTTCCAATGAGGGTCAGCAAGTTGTGTAACTAAATTAGATGGGAATGAACGCAGATAAATTTCATTTAAAGTCAACTAGGTATTTTTCTGTACACCTCTTCCTTTCATTCATAGTGTATGTTAATAATTCTTGGTTCCCACAGCTTGTTCCGTGTGATCTATTTCCTCTTTCGACAGCAGCTGTCCTCTGAACGACTTAACTTAATCCCGCTATCATTCCGTTGGTAACATGGCAGAAGTCAGTCTCGCTGAATTTTGAGAGAGTATGCTAAAGGCTTTTAAAATGTTTTGAAAAATTAGGTAAATATTTTAAAACTAAAATATTACTTTGCTGCTGATAGGCTGTCTTCAGTAACTTCTTTAGTAAAGCTGCTAAACAGCTGAAATGACAAGTGTCTTGCAGATGTGTTTTGCTAGAATGCAAAACATTTGACTTTCAGGTTGCCTGTCTTGAAGACATTGTAAAATATCCATTTCCCAAGGCAGTGAATGTTTTGGATATTTTTAATATGCAGAAACAAACATAAATCAGAAGTTAGCAATCAGCAGCCCTAAAGGCTACATCTGGCATGTGAGAAGAACGGGCCCAGTAGAGAGTATTTGAAGTGGACCGCGCGATCACTTAGGTGCCAGAGAAATTCACAACCCGTTTGCTCTGTGCTGCCCTTCCCCACCCAACGCCCTCCCCTCTCCCCCACCCTCCTCTCGGCAGATCGCGCGTTAGGTCAGCCAGAGGATTTCCTCTGCTGGTGTCGTGTGCTGACCATCACTCCCCTATCCGAGAGTACCGAGGTGTAATTTTCAAGTGGTTTGATAGCAATGCCTCAGGCAGAAGAGCAAGTGTCACCAGTGTAAAGCTTTTCGGTTTTCCTCCTTTTGCTTCTTCAGCTCCCCCCCTCTGCGGCCGCCCAAGGAAAGGCTGCGGAATTGTCTGACGTTTTGATTTGGGAAGCAGAATTCAGAAAGACTCTTTAATTCACTTTGGAGTTTTAAGTAGCTTCAGGATATTTACGTTTTTAAGCCAACAGTTAGAAAAGCCCATAAATTGAAGAAGTTTTTTATAACTTTTTATTTCCAAAAACCTTTTTGTAGCCACATTTTCAGAACTACCAAGTCCGTTTTGGAGTTAACCAGTGGATAGTCCATAGTCTTTGGAAAACTGCATCACTGATCTTTAGGTTAAAGCAAACCTTACCCTTTGGTTAAAGGACTCTCCTCTATAATACCTGCTTGAAGTGCTTGGTTTGTAGTGCTCACAGTCTGAAATTTAACTAACAGGTTTCCAGGTAGCTTTTTGCTACAAAAAGTTCTAGATTCCTGTAAGGCATTTTATAATGTGTTTCTGTTTAACCACAGGGAAAGTACAACAACATATTTTATAACGGGCTGACTGACCAAATGTACTTCTTTTGCTAGACTAACAAAGAGCACTGTTGCAGTACTTCCTGAGCATTTGTGTGCTGTCTCAGCTCTGTGGTAACGGGGTAAGGTGATGAGCGTAGCGGCAGTGCTTTTGCATTGCACAGAAAGCAGGCACGTTAGGTCTACATCAGTGGTTCTAGCTTGTTTTCTCAAACTGCAGGGCACAAACTTCATACGGCATTTTTACAAATGCATTTTGATATTTTGTCTCAGGATTGCTATACGTAAATTGATATTTTAATTCTTTTTTATCTTCTTAGACTATATTGTCATATCAAGTGAGAAATTTTTAACGTTATAAGGTCTTGATTTTCAAAATTGAAAGTAATAATAACGGGGGGAAAAAACTAAATCTGATAGTCTTTCAGAGTGAGCTCGAACAGCAAATGGATGGTCAAGTTGTAAGATCACTGTTTCCAACATACATAGAACTAGCTTAACTCACAGGTTAGTGAGTGGTTAGTAGTTTTATGGGATTTAGATTCCATGAAATATGGGCAATATAAGCCCATATCTTAAAAACAATCAGTCTCATCGACACAAGGAAGAAAAAGAAATACTGTTGCTATGCAAAAATTACCACTGATTTTGTAAATATTTGCAAAGAATCTTGTGTAACATTTTTAAGTATGAGTGCTTGGGAAAAAAATTGCGTTCACCTTATAATTTGCTGTTATTAATTCCTTATCTAGTTTCACAGGTATAACTAACTATCAGTTTTGAGATCATGAGTTTGAGTGTTTCCAATACTCCATTATTATCTTTATGATTTTTCAGCTCTTTAGTCTTTCTTCTGGTATGTTTAAATACAAAAACTTTTAACTATATAAACTCACTGTTAATTAAAATCAATAATGAAGTGGTTATATTTCTAAATGGTTCTCATAATGGTTCTCACTGAAACTTCTGTAAAAAAAATTGGTTTCAATATAATATTGCTGAATTCTAGTTAGTAAATATATTAATTAGTATGGTGTTACACCTCGTTTACAGTATGTTGAAATAGTTTGTCAGTTCACCTCTTACAGTATTCTTACTTGAAATCATTTTTTGTCCATGATTTTTTTTAAATAATTTAACCAATGTTGGAAACAGTCTGGTATTACCGATACCTAACGCTGCGTACATGTGCTGCCTTCCCAATGCCGAGTGTTTGTTTTCCTCCCATCCCAATCCGCAAGTCCCATTTGCTTCACACACAGAAACCATATTAAAAAAATGGGTCGGGGTGTCTCGTCACTTTGTTCATACTATTTTGTGGCTAAACTAGTGTGCTAGGTTGCAGCTTTATTAAACCGCTTGTTCTGAAATCCTCATACTGTTTGTTGTTTGTCCAAATGCTGCCTTCCTACTAGGACTTCTAGCAGCAGAAAGTAGGTATCCCTTTGTTTTCCTTTAAGGCATATCATTCAGCTATGGTGTGTGTCTTTGCATGTTTAAAAATCAGCTTTCTTTTCTTTGCTATTTTCAGTTTTAATACTGCCTGTTCAGGAAAAATAGCCTGTATGGGTTTTGACTCAATCTGTCTGTAACTTTGAAAGTATAATTACCCAGAAGTAATATGATTTCCAGGGAATTCTGAAGATTCTAGTTTAGAGGCAGTATTAAAATTACCTGGTTTTTTTTGTTTTCAATATTTGCAGCACAACTGAAATAAAACTTAATTTTCATTAAATTAATAAAGGATAAAATGGTTTGGGTTTGCATTTTTGTTCAAAAATTAATGTTTTCATGGGCTAATGGGCTTTTTTCTCCTAACACTAAACATCTATTGTAATACTCGTCATATATTATTTTCTTCCTATGCCCTTGCATGAACTTTCTTGATCATTTTGTGTTGATGTGATACATGATATATGCATATGCATTGTGTATATGCATACATCTGATTTAAATAACTATCCAGTATGTGTCTCCTTCATGAAGGAATAGTATTGACCTGTAGGGAGGAGGTTCTGCTGCAACTTAGCTGCACGCTTTGTGAGAGACTGAAAGCACAAGCACTTCTAGACAGAGGAGAAGGTGTGAAAGTCTAGACCCTTTGATACAAACTGCAACTGTTTCAAAACCAACAAATTCAGCATCTCAAAATACAAGCTATAAAAAGTTGATTTTTTTCCTGCAGCATTTGAAGATTTGTAGGCTAACAGCTCTTCTTCCATCCTAGGTCAGGGCAGCAAGACATAACGTCCATGTCTTCATTTCTGATCAAAGTCATGGATTTTTGTTGGTTTTGTTGTTGTTTGCTTTATTCTTTTGATCTTACAGGTTGTGGGGGATGTTGTTCCTTGTCCTCCTATTTCCCTGTCTCAGAATGCCTGTCCAGTAACACGAGAGTGAGAACTCCGTGGATTTTTATGTGAAAGTTTTGAAACAGTATTATTTTTATACAGTTGTAGGGCAAAAAGAAACTTCATACAGGGCCTCTATCACTGATTTTGAGCGTTTGTTTTTGCATAGAGACTTTCTTCAGTAAACTTACTGACTGATAGTGTGTGCTGCCCTCGTACTGATCAGAAGAGGATTTCTACGTATTTTTGCAGTGAGAAAGAAAGTATCTAAGGAAATAATAGTGAAGGGCATTCATCTGTTAAAATATTTATTTGTTTAGTTGCATGTGAGTGTACTACCTGCAAGGTGTGGATCTGGTCTGAGAAACAATACCTCTTCACTACATATTTCTTGCCCACCACACCAGACTGCCTTCTTCATGTTTATGGCTAGTTTTACAGTGAGGGATAACTGGGAAAAGGAATTGGCAAACTTTGTGTAAAGGTCCCAAGTATGGAACCAGGGAAGGTGGAGACACACGTACACGCAGTGCCCCTCTGCATGCAGAGTAGAGCAAAGGCGATCTTCAACACCAAGCATCGGTTTCTCCGGCCCCTTCCCTCTCTCCCCCTTTTCTTTTTTCGTTGTTTAGTCTTTTCCTCTTTCTTCTTGTTCTTCTCTCCTGCACCTGTTTCCTTTGGTTTTCTTCTCTTTGACATGCATTTCTTTCCCTTCTTGTATTCCATAGGTGTTCTTACCTTCTTTAATTTAGCTGTAAACCCCAACACCCTTCCATCGCACCAACTGCCTTCTTTCTGCAGCTTCACTGTAGTCTCCATAAACCTCCTTCTTCCTAGTTTCCCTGGACTGTCCCTGATTGTTACATATATATATATAAAGATATATGGAGTCTGTATGTGTATGTATATATATTATTACTGTCTTAATTGCTTCCCAGTAACATTCACAGAACTGTGTGCATGTAGGAGCATATTTGTAAATTTAGAGAGTATCTAAACTTGGCTGTTTGGTTTCTGTCCGAGAAGGAAGAAGTCATTAAACAATGTATAGCTCAAATTTGAGGATAGAGTCCTTACTTGCCTTTCATTTTAATTACACTGCTGTGTATATATGAGAAACATGTATCTCCCACCTTATTTTAAAGAATCATAGGCACATATATACACATGCTTTGGCTGTCCTCTGTCCTTGCAGAGAGAGTTGCTCTCGAATATGGTGAACAGCAAAGAGCAACAAATGACTGTGGGAGGGTAGAGGCATCTCCACTCCAGCGATTCTTGCAGATGTGATTTAAAGCAATGAAGAGCATCTCGTACTCAGTTGGCTTTCTCTTAACCGAAGAAGTTACATCAGCACGAGTAGTGGAAAGGTCCCATCTCTGTAAAATATTCTTTTCTCACCTTTCATGGAAACAGCATATGTTTAGTATTTTCTTAGGAAATAGAGGTGTTCTTTCTTACACATTTTTAATTCCTGTCCACTGGTACTAAGGCAAGTCTGGCCTGGTATATAATGTGGGTATAGTATTTTCTAATTATGCTGATATTGAGCCTAGACTCTTGTGTTTTGCTAAAGTGAACAGTTTTAACGTGTGTGTGATTGTGATTTGAAAACCTCAGCTGACAGACACCCCATCGTTTCCACAGCGTTTTGGTATAGTGCTTAATTACCTAACATGTTAAACATTTATGCCTTGTGTTTTTAGGGTGTCTTAATCAGATGCCAGCAAACCCAAACTACTGAAGGCACTGCTTTATGTGGTTATCAATAAATAGGTTGTTTAAAGGTGTAAGTGTCACTGGAGCCTTAAAGCAGAAGCAAAGAATCTTTGTTTTATTTGTCGTACATGAAAAATAAAAATAAAATATGTGAAACTTGAATCTCACATTACAGAGTTGGTAAAACTTCTCATTGTCACTTCACCAGATGTGTTCTATCAGAATCTCACAATATTTGTAAGATTTTTTTTTCCTGAAAATAGCTGCACTTTATGATAATGCCCATGCTTGTTTTTTATGAGATTGTATGCAGTGACTTCATTTAGTGATTCTAATATTTGATCTCTCTAAAATCTAACAATTTCTGATGTTTTTTCTTCTGTCCTTGCTGTATGTGCTAGCCTCAGACCTCTTCATAAACAAAGTGAAATGTAAATCCTACCTTCTGAAATGCCTGTGCTTTGAGAACCAGGATTGGTTTTAAATTTCATTTCCAGCGACTGCACACAAGAAGGCAGCCAAGAGATGAAGTTGAGAGAAATCAGTTTGTGCTATTTGTAGATTGACTGGCATAAGGACTGAATCGTGGTATATAGAGAAATTGCAAATAGCAGCTAAGCTTTGGTTAGTCATTTAAAAACCACTGTAAAATCTTCAAAGTATAGTTACTTACCTATTTATACAACATAAAGAATAGTTGAAAAGCCAATCCAAATTAAGGTCGTTTATAAGAATGAACAGGATTAAAACGAGTGGTTGGTGTCAGGAACTTAATTTTACACGATTCTACAAATCTCTAAGGGGTTTAGATTTTGTCTGTGCCTCTTTAATAAAAATATGCTATTGTTATAATGGTTGTTATAAGGTCTTCTGCAGAGTCATTTCCTGGAATACTGGTTGCAGAAGACGTGCAGAAAGGTTACGAGTTTATAGTTTTGTACTTAAACAAGGTCAGGCTTCCTCTAACAAGTTTTTGTTGCTCAGAAGAGGGTTTATGACTGACCAAGACTTTAAATGGGCATTTGTAGTCTTCAAAAGAAAACAAAGAATTATTTTACCCTCTCTCAGAATGTGTTTGTAGTAGTCTTTGTGTTTTGCAGCAAGATCTAAGTCTTTTTACCTAAACTTCTTTCAGTCATACTCTGTGGCAGATCAGCACATGGAAAGAAACTGGTAATTCTCTGTACTGCCTGCTGCATGGGAGAGGAAATCTGCTGAACTTGCCTGGGCTGCTCAGCCTCAGAAAAGGAAACTTTTGGGCTGTTTGGTGGTGGAGACATATTACTATTGCTGAATATGTAGGCAATTCTTGGAACAGTATTTTAAAAACTTCTTTTCTTTCATTCTCTTTTATTATTCTTATTCTCTCCTCTTCTGGGAAGAAGCAAGCAACCCCTACCTACCTCTAAAGTTCAGTTTCTCTAGCCAAACCGCCGGTTCCAGATTAGATAAACTAGATGCCAGGATGTCATAACACCATTCTAGATTGCCAAAGCTTTGTCTACTTGCAACGTGATGAACCAGCATCCACACCAACTTCGGGTGGTATTAAGAGCGCTGTCTGAGAACTACAAAGACTCTAGAGATAGGATTTAGCTGTAAGAGAGAACTATTTCTGAATGGCCATCTCCATAAGTGAGGTAACAGAACCTGCAGAAAATACCTGTGATAACTTTAACCACACACTGGGTGAAGAAATAATCCCAAGTTACTGCCTTATAAAGCAAATATGTCTAACTGACAAGTAATACATCTGCCTCAGTAGGCAGAAAGTTGCTCAGTTTATCTCCATCTTCTTAGAAGCAATTTTGGTATCATCCTTAAGAAGTCATTTCACTGACTATAAAAACATTTCATGTACTAGTACTGACTGCAGAAGAGTCTCATAAGCATTCTGACTTTTTTTTTTTTAATATAGTGAGAGCCCGTAGTTTTCAACTTTTCAAAGTTGTCAGCCCCAAGGGAACTGTGAATAGTTGCAGCCATCCTTTCTTAGATAGTCTTGTGGGAATATAAGAAAGACGAGGTTGTGTGCATGGCCCAGAATATCACTGCCCGTTTGCACACTGAGGACATAAGTGCAATTACAGTAGGATCCACTGTTACCACAGTCTTCTCACAGAACCATGTTTGGTGCAGATTTTGTTACTATTACTATAGAGAAGAGTCGTGTATCACTGGAATTAGCACCTTTCCTGCACAATTGTGTGTGTATATATTTTTATAGTAACTTAAGGTGCAGGGTGAGATTCATCTCACCAAAGTGGTTGGGGCTGCTTGAAAGTTCTGTGGCAGTAAGCAGCATTTTCTAACAAAGTTTACTTTAGGGAGTCTTAACAAACATAGAAAGCCAGTCAAGTTAGTCAACTTCCTTTTTTTCCTGACTTCCTAATGTTTATGCATCGTTCTAGGTTTTGTATTTATAGATTCTGTCTGTAACTGCTGCAGACCATGAGAGATCTGAGCTTTTAGATTGTCTGACTGCATAATAACTCGCTTAAGTCCTCCCTTTATCATCTATGCTCAGGCTAAAATGGGTGCATTTGCAATGATTAAAAGAGATTAAATCCTATTTCTAGAGGATACAAGCTTTAATTGTAAATACTGAGTGCTTTTATACTTTCACCAAAGGTTAGAAATTTAGCTTAAATGTGATAGAATCTGAATCTTTTTAGGGATAGGCATGCTGTAAAAATTGGTCAATTTTATTTTATGTAGTATTGTTTATCTGAATTTAAAACTCTTCTGAACGGTACTCTTGAACTTTTAACCAGGTGTCTGTAAGAGAGAGAGTTTAGGTGCTCACAGAAATGCCGGTAGACTTGTTCTGTCGCTTTTGTATCCACTAACATGCTGTCAGTCTATTGCTAGCCTGCCATTTTCTGACGGAGGTGCATGTTATTTGTAAATGCAGGTAATGCTGTAACGGCAGTAGGTACAGCATAAGATTGGAGGTAAAAAAAAAAAACAAAACCATAAAGTAGAACTGTGATTTTGAGGGATTACTAAAGTCATGTCACAATTTCTCATCAAATTTGTTGAGGATATTCTTGGAAACTTTGTTTTACAGCCATCTATTCAATGTGACCAATGGACAGGAGAAAAAAGACCTAATGAACAAAGCTTAATGTTTTGGAATTCCCAGATATTCAAAAGGTGGTTGAGATGCAAATATTAAAAAATGGTAACTTTTATTTCTATTTGAAAGACCTCAAAGTATTCCATAAAATAAAATTTCCCAAAGTACGTAATACTCTTAAATAAATAACGTGGTGGTGCAGAACATTTAGTGTTTCACAGTAGTACAGCACTGCAGATGACTTTGAACAAACTTCTCATTGGTTCTGGTTTTGGCTAAAGTTTTCGGGTTCTGAGCAACATTGAGAGGTATTAGAGATTCTTAAGATATCCAAGCCTCTGAAGTGACTCTTCTCTTGAGTTTTCCTTAAAGTAAATATGCTAAATACACCGAAAGGGCTTTGAATCCAGAAAGCAAAGTTTTGCTAGAAAAGAAAATAATTAATTCAAACTCTGAACATGACAGGAATAGAAATAAAAGAGAATTCTAACTAATTTCCTTCTGACAACTGCATCCTGGAAAGTCAAGCTCTTTCCTTCAGGCTTGAAGATCTCCAGGTTCATCAGCCTTTATCTGACATACTGAAAATGTTGAAAGAAACTCAGTACAGTCCCTTTTGGGTCCATAGGTAATGTTTTTCTTCCTTACTTTTGAGGCTTAGCTGTGATCTCTCCGTGCTCTTCCTAACAGGTTCCCAAAGTCTGTATTTCCCCAGGTTTCCTGCTGTGTCTTCTGGTGTGGAAGCTGTGGCACAGGCAGAGGAGTGTGGACAGTTCCTTTCAACAGAGCATGCTTATTCATTATAAAAAAAAATGAGCTATTTTTTCTCTTCTTCAGTGCACCTGACCCCATATGCAGCAACTACGATAAGACAAACCATTAGTTTTATTTGCTGACCAGCCACCGCTTTTTTAAAGGAACATATCTCAAATTAATACATCAGTTGGAAATAAGTAGTCAGGCACATTTAACAGGAGAGGACTAAGAAATCTTACTGCTCCTGAGCCATGACTTGTGAGTGGGTGGGGTACTGCGGTTCTTAACCTTGGTGTACAAGGAACTGCGAGGAGAATCCTAGGTTGAGATTTGTACGAAATGTGATGCAAGAGTTTCTAGACTTGTAACTTACTTGGCCTTCTAAACCATGAGGTCACAATTCTTGTTTAGTAGTTTTTGTGTATTTTGTTATGTTTATTCCAGTTTTTTGAGGTTTAGAGAGCAATAAGTTAATTCGTTTCCTTGTGTGGTTAAGAGGCTGATGGGTTTTTTGGTTTTTATTACATTCTGAAAATGCTGTAGATCACAAAAGGGTTTGAGTTAAGGAAGGCTGGTAAGAATTGTTCATACAGTGGAGGATGGAATTTCAAGAAATAGAGCAAATTTTTAGATATTCTCTGACAAAAAGACACTGGCAAATTAAATAGTAAACAGAATAAACAAATTAAGGAGAAATTAGTGAAATACAGAATGTGTAGAATTCCATATCCAGAATTAAGAATTTATTTATGAAAAAGTACTCAGTAGTTTACAGTCAGACACAAGCATTTTTGCAGACCAACCCTGGGTATGCTACCATCTTTCCACATGCTTATACCGCTGTGGGCAATCTGAAGACATGGGCTGTGGGTGTTTAGATAAGCCAAAGTTAGCATTCTGGTAATGCACAGAAGTGGCAGCCACCACTGATATCTGATTTTTAAAACAAGTTCTTCCACAAGGAACCAATACGGGCTGGGTTACTATGGATTTGTGTTGTGTTTCTGTATCCGCCCCTACTGTGAGTTCAGCTCTCCTCGTGGACTTCTACCTTCCATAACACCTCCTGTTCCTGCTTTTTCTCCCCATATCCCTCACTTCTCTTTTCACCCTTATGCCATATAAAAACCGTCCCCATCTTCCTATGACCCAAAACAATCCACTGGTCAAAAGGCAGCGAGTACTATAACTGGGTCTGAGATAACCAGGCAAGCAGAACAAACAGAACAAAAACCAGAGCTCACGTTACAGCCCTTTTTTTCTCCTCCAGAGGACACAGCAGTCAGGTCTTTCTCTCTCTTCTATCCAGATGCTAATTTTAAAAGTATTTGTGAGAGCCTTGGTTCATTCAATTTTTTACTGATTTGGAATATGTGTTTAAAATTGGCCAGCAATTGAAAAAGTGAAAAAAGAGAAGGTTGGAGTGAGAATAGTGAGGACAGGCAGTTGGGCAGATAATCCAAGTAACTTTGTAAGACATCGTTGGAAACCAGGCTAAAATAGAACAAAGCTAAGCTTAATAAAAACAGGTTTTAACCTCTCTTCAGTTAAGTGATTTCTTATGTATAATTGCACTATATGTGGGCACTGTTGATATACATAAAGTTTATTCAGTGAGTTTTCCTGTAAAAACTCCAACTTTTTAAAGTTCCTGTTCCAGTTGTACCAGATGAAGTGAAAGTTTCTGTTTCCAAAGTTCAGTTTACCATGAGTCTTTGCTTAATTGATTTTTATTCTTTCTTTTTTTTTCCTGTTTATTACCCCATAGGAGCAGTCTCACAGGTGCTGGACAGCCTGGAAGAAATTCATGCACTTACAGACTGCAGTGAAAAAGACTTAGATTTTCTTCACAGTGTTTTCCAGGATCAGCATCTTCACACGCTACTAGATGTAAGTTTTCTACGATAAACAGTTTGAAACCGTTTCTGTATCTGTTGTTCATTGGATAATATTTTGTTTTATCCCAGGCATATTCTCTTTTCTCATTTCATACCAAAATGAATTTATTTAGGTGTGGAATGTAACAATCAACTAGCACTTTACACAAAAATACATTTTTAGGACTATACATAGAGAATAATTTAGAATATGTAAGTGGTTAATGACTTGGTATGAATGAATAACTTTGCTTTAAAATATTTTATCTGAAGAGGCTTTTTTCTTTTGATAAGGGCTAGATTTTATTTTTTATTTTAAATGTGAATTTATAACTGTACAGATTCATTCCTTTTTTATTATTTTTAAGTAATGTAATAATCTTAGACCAGTTCTATGGAAATTCTTACAAGTATGACATCATTTGTCCTGTACTTGAACACAGTATGTAATAGACTCTGTCATTTAAACCTGCAGTGTTCTGTGGCTCATGAGAGCTCTTACTCCATAAGACAGCAGTGGGTATTCCACAATAAAGTGTGCAAAAATGACAAAGGTGGGAGATGCAGGTTAGTGCCTCTTCGTAGGCATAGTCAGCATCTGGTTCCCTTTTCTTCACTGTCTGTCTGTAAGCATAGTTCACTGTCTGGCTACATGTACAGGTCAACTGTGGTATCAGAAGGTTCATAGATTTTTTTGATTTTTTTTTTTCCCTTCCAGAAAACTAAAGTGCTCGATTTTGTAAAAATAGTTTTGAAAAGCAAGTAGTCTGGTGTTTGAGAGAAAAATGCTTGCACGCTACTTATCTTTCTGTGCCTGGAGGGCTTCCTGTTTTCAAAGTTTCTTGTTATCTTGTCACATGCAGAAATACTGTTTATATTTCCCAATACTTTTTTAACCAAGCAGGCCTAACAAGCAAATACCTTGTACTTTCTCCAAAATTGTGTGAATTTGGGAAAACATACATATAGTTTTGAGGTAGAGGTATTTGCTGAACTTCAACTCGTTGCAAAGACAGGGACCTTCAGCATCGCTGCAGGCTTACGCTCCATTCCTCACATTGAGCGCCAAGACCTTCATCGAAGGACAAATTCAAAAGCTGTCATTGATTTCTGTGCCTACAGAGTTTGGGGGTCTAAAATAAAGGTCAAAAAGAAGCAGAAACAACTTTACCTGATTTTTTTTCTGGGATATATGGATACTTCATGTTGAAGACAGGGGACTTGCAAGACAAATTTTTTCTAAAGCAATCTACACATTCCACTGAGAAAAAACTCACGATGGAACCAAATCCCCAGAGACATAGACTATGTCGACATTAGCAAGTACTACAGCATAACAGCAGGAGATCTGTAGAGCAAAAGAGTTGACACTGAGGACCCAGTGTTGACAATTCTGTGTATTTTGAGGGCTTTTACTTGATACTAGCTGTACTGCAGTCCTATGGACTGAATAACCACTGATAGGTGAACAGCATCTTCTATTTTAGTGTCATTTGAGAGGAAATATACTCTGGTAACACTGTACAGTGAAAACCGAAGAATGGTTGGTGGGCATAATCAGAAGATTCGTTTCAAAAATGCACTCCTGAATCAAACCAAAGTGCTCACGTGACCATATAGGTCATGACCATTTTATTACTATGTCTTAAATTTAACGGCTTGGATATCTCAGCAAATATCACAATCTAACAAGATGTCTATGCTTTTTACCCAGTCAAAGGTACACAGGATTAGGAGTCATTCCAGCTGTCTGATCTGCAGGTAGATGATTATGGTTGTAGAAACTTTAAAGAGTTTCTGGAAAATTCTTGAATGCTTTAATTCCTATATGCAGCTTCGCAGGGGTATGATCTGAATGTACAAGGTGCCATAGTTCCTTTGGTGTCCAAAGTCTTTAAAATGTGGTGGATGATCTGTACGCTTCTTACAATTTGTTTATCGACTGGTGATTGCCACCTGGATTCTGTGCATCGTTCAAGTTTAAAGGATTCAAATCCACACGTGCTTCCTTCCGGAAGAGGACCCGGTTGCAGGGTTCTGAGCTGGGAACATAAACCTTCTGCTAAAGCTTCCCAACAACTTAGCTGCCCCTATGACTCGAGGAACCAGAGATAATTAGCTGTTAAGTGATGAGGGCATTGCTCTGACACAAGACTCTCGAATTCTAATCTTTGTTCTTGATAACTGTTTATGCATTTTACATTAAACAGTCATTGGTTAAAATTATATGAAGCATGCAGGAAGAAGGGATTAGGAGCTCATGACTTTCCTGAGTTGCATCTCCAACTCATTTTCCAATTTGCGTTAAAATACGAATCTTTTTTTCCCAGTGTAAGTTCATCTAGCTTGTGTTCCAGATGCTTAAATTGCTCTGTCTTTTTATGTTGCATGCTGCTGTATAGAGAGGTGATCAGATAATATGAATGAGAAATAAAAATCTGGACAGGAAGAGAGTAACATGAGTGTAATAATAAGAACCAAAACACGTGTCACTCATGCAGAAAGGTTTTAGATATTTATTAACCATTATTATGCTGTCGTATAGTGTCCTGGGCTTCAATAAAACAGAGTGCCTTACTTTAAGTATTTTACTGTATGGCAGGTCTACCAGACGTTAACTCATGCTTCTGCAATGCTTTTACTTTTTTCTGTTCTTCACAGTAGCAGTCTGGTTCATAGTACTTCACTAATGATCTGTTATTTCTGTAACGATCTGCTGTAGCCTTTTAAACAAGAACGAACTGCAATGAATTCATACCTTTTTGCCATTCTTTTAAATAAAAGTCATGGTCATTCTCTTAGACAGAAAGTGATAAATTTAAATGCACACTATAATAACACATTTGTGAGAACCAAATGCTATCAAAAAGCATTTTAGTTTTATTATGCTATGTGGAAGGGGGATGATGGAATCTTCCCAAAGATACTTTGATTAGAATAATACAAAATAAAATCCTAAAAGATTGCAAAGATTGCAGTGTCATAAAATACATATTTGAAAGACTGAAGCAAGTTATAAACAGTACTATTTTAAAGGATAGCTTTTTCATTTCGGTAACTTGGATGTGGGAGATGGATTTCTGTTTATGTGTTGATTCTATTCCAGTTTCTCTCAGAACTCTGAAAAAAATCATCAGTTGTACTTGGATGAAGTTCTCTCAGGGAAACTGTTTATTCCTCTGAGTATTTGAGGTTAACGAAGCCACCAGAACAAGTCACCTGTAAAGCATTATATTCCACTAAGTAGGAATGTTTCAATCTGTTGTGAAGTTGTGGCTGTCACTTTGCATTAAAACTACTGTTCCTCTTCCTTGGCCTTTTTCCACAGTTAAATTTGTTCTCATGTTCCTACCCTTTCTCAAGAGTTACCCTTATTTTTAGATTAGGCACATGATGATAGATCGCTCCTGCTGCTGAAATACCTTGTTTTGCTTCTGAACTAACTCTTCTTCTGAAAGCAAAGAACAGAAAGGACAACTTTTGTGTTAAGAGTGCAAGGTACCTGTGTGTTGTTTTTTTCAGGTAACAGAGATCACAGAATAGAAGTCTTCTTTCTCAGTAATTCATTAACTTAGCTGTTACGAGGACAGGCACCTCTGAAGGCCATCGAAGGCAGAGTTCCTCTCATCCCATTGATTGTTTTTAATTGATTCATTTATGTATGTCTGTTTAGATAGCTCTCTTAAGACTCTTTTCCACTTTACTTGGGTGCCAAAGCTGTTCAAAACAAGGGGGAAAAAGGTGCCAACTGCTTACAAAGTAATTTATATTCACTCTGGGCTGAATCCTGCAATACATCAGCATATCCTGATGTGGGCTTATTGAACAGTTTCATTCTGTGATTTTTTCATCATTTTACAGAATCCTTCTATTGTGTTGAGTGTTTTTTCCTCTTCTAAAAGTTACATAATTCATTATTAAAAACTAAATTTTGTTTATTGGGGAGAGTAAAGAAAAGGGTCTTCTAGAAACAACCATTCACTACCTAAAAAAAAGTATTGTTTAGTAATTGATCCTTCTTGTAAAGTAGAAGAGTAACTTCGGGTTGGACAGATTTATTTTTTTTTTTCCTCACTTCTGTTAGAAATGTGATGATGAAAATTTTAGTGAATGCTGTAGGACATTTCAGTGTGTGACTTAGGTGAGTTTATGCCCGTATAAAACTTTGCAGATATTTCATTATGGTATCCAATTTAGAGCATAAAGAATGTAATAAAGTTAAGTAAAGGATATCAATAACTTTATGGAAAAACAGAGTTAAATTTAAGTAGTGAAACAGCTTTTTATTACCACTGACATATTTTTTAGAAGCCTTATCAAATGGTTGAAATAAGATTTTTTAATTTTTGTTTTTTTTAATTGACTTTTATGAAAGAGATCCTGGGAGGCAGTGCTGTCTTGTGTCAGTAGTACTGATAAAGAAGTTTGGAAATAAATGTGAAGAGGTTACTAATTTTGGAGGTATTGGTGTTTGGCTATTTTCTGTATCATGACAAAAGATTTTACTTTAATGATTGTTTTGAAAAGTATACTGGGCTTCGAGGCTGTGCCTAATGGGTAATACCTTTACACATTTTGTGTTATCTCCATCAGTGCATCAAAGAAAGCAAGGTTTGCTAAAAAGTAAAACGAGAAGCTGCTATTTTATGCAGCTGCCTACATGGAAGGAGACAAGAGAAATCACTCTCCTGGTGAGTCAAGTAGTTTGGTCACCTCTCCAGGGATGCTTTCTGTGGGTGATTCAGAATGCAGATGTCGTTGGATTTACAAGTGAGATTTTTGCTCAGCAGGAGAACAATATCAGCTTTTGTGTGACTGGGGCCTCTCTGTGCTACTGGCTTTGTCTGCGGCTCTCTGTCCGGAGTCAGATAGTTCTCCGGGCTGATGTCTTTTGGCTGTTAATTTAGGAAGTTTGTTACATTATTTTCATAGATGGAATCGTTAAGGTAAGTGTTGTTACTTCTGCAAGTATATCTCCGACAGAAACGTTACAAACTTTTAAGAAAGTTTTTT